GCCTACTTTTCAGTGGTAATCTCGTTCGTTGTTGTTGTGCCTGATTTGGTGACGACACAATTTATCTGTGCTTGCTCTACTGGTCTGAAACCGAAAGAAGTCAGTTATTGCATAATTGACCTTGAGCATATTATTTGAATAATAAATACCACAAGTTGACTGATGTTGACTGTTGGTATTTTACTGTTAATGACTAATATTATTAAAGAATTTCATTCGTTTTTTTTTTATAATGGACTTATATATTGGATAATGTATCCAATATATAATAATCTGCAGTATCAAAATATAGCTTTAGATAGCTTTATATATATATTGTTTTATCTTATAAAGCATCTTATCTGCCTTTTTATGTATTATGTATGTATACTTATTTATTATACCTCAATAGTCAACGGTCTGCCATTTAAAAACCGTATACAGGAATTTCAGAATAATCATAATTAAGTGCTAATGTAAACACGTTAAACTCACATAGTGATCAATTGGGAGCCACACTGATTTGTTTGGTACCGGATTTGTTTGCAGTGTGAAATAAGCAATATACTAAAATTGTTATATTTATTCCTGTTGTTAAAGACATTTAATGGATTGAGATTATTCGTTCCTAAAATAATTATGATGTGTTTTTTTATCTCACTTTGTATTTAAACGCTATTACATTTTTTGGGTTACTACGATTAGGTCCTTTAAGGCACAAGCACAATCTAAATGAATTACTAATTTGGCTTATTAAGGAGCCTTAACGTTACATGTCGGAAGAAGTCAACTATCTTCGGAGCAGTACTTAGGGTTTGTTAGTATAAGCCAAAAAAGTAGTAACAAGATTAAATTTGGTTCGTTAAATTACAAATGTTGAATATTCTGAGTTAGTGGATAATGTTTTGACTTAATTTTATTGAACTGTACATATTTAATGCTTAACTATTTTTTATTCCTTTGATTACAAAACCTATATTAGACATATCAAGCTCACGTTATTTAAATTAAAAAATTTTTTTGACAGTGTGTACTACGATTAGTGTTCTCTATTTTTTTTTTTTTTTGTTAGTTTTGACCTGAAATTCCTCTGTTATAAACCATATAGTATTCATCAATGATTCAAACCGGCATATCATTTTGTTATTGAACTAAGTAGTATACAAGAATTGGTTAAACGTTGAAATACAAAAAGCCGCTCGTTGGATATAACGGATGAAACAACATCAGTACGCCAGTCCCGTGGAACTACTTTAAAGTAGAAAATCCAAATAATTTGTGAATGATTATTTCCATTTGAGAAAGCGCGACTCTTCTATTTAAATAATGTATGAGTCCAACCTAAAAGATGGAGTACAGTTTTCTTCTTATTCGTAGAGCCACAACTATCAAAAGTCGTTGTAGAGTAGACCAAGTCTTACAGCATACGAAGTAAAACTTTCTAATATGCAGTAACCTAAGATCACCGATACCATAGTAAGTAATGAATTGGTTCCGCTTTAGTTAAAATAGGCGATTGGTACGAATTTTTTTTAATTTGAATCAGGGGAATCTTGTGATTTGAAAAGTATCTTCATCTATCCTCGCTTTTCTAGCAAATTACTGATGTTGTAACTTGTTCCATACGACCTTTTTTGAGAATATTGATAAGCTACTAAATGTGGTGAGCGGTATTTGCGGTCATCGTGAAGTGACTGTTGGAACTTTATATTCACTTTGGTACTCCATATTGTGTGTGTTGCGCTATCTTCACAATTCAAATGAGAGTTATGCCTTATTTCTGTACCTGTAATATTTTTTTTGTTATTTGTAATTGTAAATGTAAATGTTATTTAATTAATAAATTTGGCTAAAACATTATTTAATAAGTTTATATATAATTTTGAACTAAAAAATCGCAAAGGTGGGGGTCAGTAGAACGCAATATTTGTAAAATGGCTTAAATTAGTAGTTCATTATTTCCTTAATTTATTTTCCTAGTAATCAACTAACGCTTAACCCATTAAATCATTGCACATTTGTACATAAAAGTTATTTATATTTTCATAATAAAACTGAAAAATTTTGCTTTTTGTATAAATTCCAATCAATTTTAATGGTTTTGAAAAGTTTTTAACAAATTTGTCATAATTTAATACTGACAAAGCAAACGCCTTCACCTTTCAATGAACTCTAAATGAAAACTTCTAATCAGTTTCATTATTGTTGTTGTTGTTGTTTAGGTTTAATTTTAATTATAAACCATAAAAGAATTGGTTCACACTTAAAGAAAATATATACAAAAAAAGATAAAATAATTACAGTAAAAAAATATAAAAATGTTGCGTTCAATTGGTCGTCGTACTGTGATTTTAGTGCATCAGCAAACGTGGTCACTTTTACGAAATGCGAATCTGGTGAAAGTTCTTGAAAAAGACTTGGTTTGCTGCCAATTAGAGCGGTGCTGCCGTTGCTGCTCGTCCGCAGCTATTGTCAAGAATTCACAATCGCAAATTGTTTCAAGTACAGATACGCACAGTAAAAACAAAATATATAAAACAAAAACAGAAACCAAAACCAACAATAATGAGACTGATGGCGCAGCTGGTTATAGTCTAGCACAGCATTTGGAGAAGGTTAGAATTATAGACAATATGCCTTATGGCTAAATGAATAATTTTTAATATTTACAGATTGATGAGGAATTGGCTCGATTGTTGGCATTGAAAGCAAGACTCGGCGATGAGTCAGCTCCACCTCAAAAATTTACACTTAAAACCCCAAAAGGCACAAGGGATTATGCGCCACAGCAAATGACACTAAGGCAAGGAGTGCTGGACAAAATTATTGGTGTCTTTAAGAAGCATGGAGGAGAGGCTATTGATACTCCCGTTTTCGAACTAAAGGTAAAATTTGTTTATATAGTGGTTTCTTTTAAAATGAACAATATATTTGTATTTTTGCAGGAAGTCCTTACTGGCAAATATGGTGAAGATTCAAAACTCATTTATGATCTTAAAGATCAAGGTGGCGAAATATTATCACTGCGATATGATTTGACAGTTCCTTTAGCTCGTTACCTAGCCATGAGCAAGATAGCAAGTATTAAACGGTATCACATCGCTAAAGTATATAGGCGGGACAATCCTTCCATTACTCGCGGACGTTACAGGGAATTTTATCAATGTGTATGCTAGGCAATTAATTGCCGGAAAACTTACGTCAATTTTGTATTTCTTATTTCAGGATTTTGATATAGCTGGAACTTATGATCTGATGTTACCAGATGCTGAATGCGTCAAAATTGTTGCAGAGGTGCTAGATACCTTAGAAATTGGAGACTATGTTATCAAACTAAATCATCGCCAATTACTGGATGGTATGTTTGAGGCTTGCGGTGTGCCTGCCGATAAATTTCGTGCTATTTGCTCGTCGGTTGACAAACTCGATAAAGTAGGCACTAATACTTTTTTTGAGCTACATAACATTTCTTTAACATTTTAGTCTCCTTGGGCTGAGGTACGTGCAGAAATGATAGATGAGAAGGGCTTAGATGCAGCAGCAGCTGATGAAATTGGTAAATATGTGCAACTAAGCGGTGGAATAGGTTTAGTTGATCAGTTATTAGTTGATGAGAAACTGAAGAAAGTGCAAGCAGCAGTTAAAGGTTTGGAGGGAATGCAGCTACTGTTGAAGTATTGTAAAGCAATGGGATTGGAAAAATCTATAAGCTTTGATTTAAGTTTAGCACGTGGACTTGATTATTACACTGGCGTGATTTATGAATGTGTACTAAAAGCTGAGCCCAAGTTGTTACAAAATGGTGAAGCAGAAGAGCAAGGAACTGTTGGTTCCATCGCTGGTGGTGGACGGTATGATAATCTTGTTGGCATGTTCGATCCGAAAGGAAAGCAAGTACCTTGTGTTGGCGTTTCAATCGGAGTTGAGCGTATATTTTCTGTTCTCGAGGCCAAATATGCTGCTGCAGGAGTGAAGGTGCGCACTAATGACGTGGAAGTATATGTCGCTTCAGCACATAAAGGATTGCACGAAAAACGACTCAGCATTTTGAATAGCTTATGGGATAACGGTATTAAAGCTGAGCATTCATATAAATTAAATCCAAAGCTTTTAGCACAACTGCAACATTGTGAAGAAAATCAAATTCCTTTGGCTGTTGTGTTTGGCGATTCCGAGCTGGAGAAGGGCATTGTAAAACTGCGTGAAGTGACAACACGTAAAGAGGTTGATGTACCTTTAGCTGATTTAGCAAACGAAATCACAAAGCGTTTAAACAACTAATGCCTGTGGAATGAAAATACTGATTTTACAAACTTGTTTTTAATTTATAGCATTTTCTATTAATTGTAATTATTTATTTTTAATATGTAGAACCTATCCAAAACTTATTTAATATTACTTAATTAAGTTTATTTTTTGTAACTTAAGTAGCAACTAAATACCGTGTAAACTCTTATTATAAAACCAAAATAAAATTTATGAGCAAGTAACATACTTATGTTTTAATTTTATTTGAATCACTGAAGGCTATTGCAAAAGGATTTCCACAATCCTAATTTGTGCATTTGTTTGTATCTTTTCAGTTTGGCCCGTTCAATTCTGTACAGAACGTGAGACATGCCCGAACTACTGCAAACGGTTGCATCTTTAAACGGGGCTAATTTTTTGACGGCTCCACCACTTAATTTAGTTAATGCTAGCACAATCCTAACACGTCCACAAACTGTAAATTATATGCAAAATATAAATTGTAAGTTAACAGAGGATCGGATCGAATTTAATAACTGTAATAATAAAAAAACTAGAATTCGTAAATCTTATAGTAGAAAAAATAGAAACAACAACGACAAATCAATAGCGGCTTCCAAAAAGATGTCAACTATTCCAAACATAAATACAAATGTACAAACGAGCTTTAAGGTAAGTTTCAAATGTATAAATAGCAGATATCCGCATGGCAGTGACGACTGCTCTAAGGTTCGGAGGTGTGCGGTGCACACTCTCACATAATTTGCAAATTGTCAAATAATATATATAAATTTATTAAATATCTTTACATCTAGAATTAATATTATTTATTACATTCTCATATATATATTTAAAGATTAAAGTTTTAGCAAAAACAATTAAATATAGTTGTTTATGAATACTTAATTAATTTGCTTCTCTTAGCTACTATAGTCTAGTCGTTAGTTGTGCTCATAAGTTTGCAGCTCATATCGCAAAACATTTCTATCATATTTCGTCTTTCCCCTTTAAGCAATTGCATTCATAAATTTCTGTCGATAGTTGTGCACAAAAGTAGTATGAACAAAATAATGTGCGTGTGCTCTAGCTTAAAATATGAGAAATAGAGATTGGGAATTGTATGAGAGTAATTTTCTGTTCTATTCGAATATCAACTGCATGTATAAGAATCCAACACGTTAACTTGCCGAAGCGCCCAGCGGCACCATTATGCCAGCGCTGAAAAAGTAAGCGAGGAGGTAATAGCTCTTCGTTTTTATTTTTCTTTGTTTTCGACATTTGTGTTTGACATAGGCAATTTCGGGGTTGAAATTATAAAAGAATGAAGAAGAAAAGCATATGAGTTAAGAATTTCTTGTTTTGCCTACATTGTATACATTTAGTCTGCTTTTGATTTTAGTGAAGTGCGAACAGTGAACAATTTTTAATTTTTAAAATCAAATAAAAAACAAAAATTTAAATAAAATATAATTTGTAATTTCACATAAACTCACTGTAAGTATATGGAAAATTAAGTAAATATATTTAAAATGATAATTGTAATTTTTGTTTTGTATTATGTAGAAGCTACTGCGTCAAGAACGATTAATTGACCAATGTGCTGCGAATGCAGTCATTCTAAAGCAAGGGGTAATCAGCTGTAGTCATGTAGTCAGCTGTTTCAATTGGAAAATTTTACAATTCAAACTGAGGAGGATTTAATTCAATTTAATGAAGAAATCACTGCCGTTGAAGTAGTTGTAAGTTAAATTATATATGTTTCTTACTTTCAGTTTCAACTTATTAATATATTCACATGTAACAATTTTACTAATTCATACATTTCTTTTCATCTATAACGTTATTTATAGACTGCATCAATGAGACGCGTTATTAAAAAACAACCAATTACGCGAAAAATTTCCTGGAATTTTGGAGAATGGTACCCAAGGCAAGAAGTCCTTAAGAGCGTTAGAGAATGTGACAGCAGCACTTTTTGGTATGGTATATTGTACATAATTAACTTTAGCGTATACAATAACATACTTTTGTATTTACAGATGCTTTAAGTACAGATGGTAAGCCGGAACAAGTGATCAAGTCGAGTCTGGAAATCTCTTCAAGGTGTTAGTAACAATTTCCAGAAAAATATTCATCTATATAAGTATGTTATATTTTTTTATGTTAATATTAATATTTTAATTGTATAAAACATAAATATAAAATATAATTTATTCAAAAAAATTTATAGTATTTTATTTAAAAATTAATAGCATAGGTAAAATTGAAAATTTAAGCGAACATATCAGCGCTGATATGTTGCATTACAAATTCGAAAAGGTAAGCTAACATGTCAGCGCTGATATGTTCCATTACAAATTCGAAAAAGTAAGCGAACATGTCAGCGCTGATATGTTGCATTACAAATTCGAAAAGGTAAGCGAGCATGTCAGCGCTGAAATGTTGCATTACAAATTTGAAAAGGTAATCGAACGATTCAGCGCTTGCCCGCAATGACATGCACGTGTTAAAGTAATTAGGAGTTTCATTTGAATAATCAGCGCTAGGCATTACCATTCAGCGCTGAGGGAATCGATTCCCTCAGCGCTGAAAGTCCCGCTGGGCGGTTAGATATGCGGCTAAAATTTGCAGCTCACATCACCATACATTTCTTCCAAATTTCGTCACTCCCCTTTTAGCTGTTGCTCCACCAAATAATAGCCGCTTTGTGTGCAAAGTAGCTGGCCGCACATTTATACGCTACAAGTGTATTCCATTTTGTATGATCATTGCATAAACATGTATGGTTCTAAGTACAAACTCTTTTGTTTGAAAAAAATTGGTTTGATGTTATATGTGAAAAGTTGTATTTATTCCATATTAATGTAATATAAAACTTATATATAAATTATTAATTTTTATGTTATGTTTTATGTTATTTTGTTAATGAATTGTTAAATGTTATATTCTGAATAAATTCTTGCCTAATACAATATAGGTATTATTAATAAAACACCTTATATATATAAATTCATCATTTTTAATTTAACTGGTAAATGTAAAAACAACATTGTAGAAGGGCCGCACACCCTTCCACATAGGGCACGCGTCGCCACTGCCGCATGGTAATAATTTTTGGAGTGTATTTTGAATAGTTCTTAAACTGATTTGTTAGGAAAGTCAGAAAGGATTGTAAGCTATGAAATGCCATAGGTTCAAAACTGGCTATAAGGAAAAATAAAATTTTTAAGGATGAAGGATTTCAATTTAAACTTACTCTTGTTAGAGGAAAATGTCTGGTTTCTCCAATCTAGGATCCAGTTAAAAGGAGTAATGTGGTTTACGTAGATCGTTTCTACTTATAAATAACCTAAACAAACATAACACATTTAATCTTTTGAATGTAGTCGGAATATTTTTTGTTAAGGAATTTTTAATATGAAATGAAGATACGGGTTTTCGGTCAAGTATTCTGCTCCTGGGTCAATCACAAAGAATATAACTACAAGTCTAATTCTCTTTGAGGTGAATAGGGCTTTTTGTCACCTTAGTTAAGCCTCTCTTATTAAGATAATAGAATAGATAATATATAATCTTATATATTTAATTCTTCTGTACGTGTGTTGACAGTGAACTCCTCCTAAACGGCTGAACCGATTTTGATGAAATTTTTTGTGTGTGTTCAAGTGGATTGAAGGAAGGTTTAGATTCACAATTTGGCCCACTGGATAATGTCTTTTTAATTAATTTTTTATTTTTTGGTATCCATGTACATTTATATTAGAAATTTAAAATTTATTCATGCTTACTTTGATTTGTTTAAAAAGTTTAAAATCTCTAAAATGATTCGTAAAACTGCCGTTGCATAGCTTAAGTGCATTTAAATTCCGCAGTATAATTATAGGTGAGCCAATTTTGAATCTTAAGTTATGTGGTGGTATTCCTGGAAACTCCAGCGAATTCAAAAATTCAACAGGATAGTTGAACGATTCATTTTAGAGTTTAAACTTTTTAAACAAATCAAAGTAAGCATGAATAACTTTTAAATGTCTAATATAAATGTATATGGATACCAGAAAACTGTATAATAATTAAAAATACGTTATCCAGTGGGCCAAATTGTGAATCTAAACCATCCTTGAATTTACTTGAACACACGCAAAAAAGAAGAATTATATATATAAAGAAGATATAAATAACGTACAAAAAACAATACCACGCCTTCGTGGACGAGAAGGAAATATTGGTCGACGGACTCGGAATTCACAATTACTCCAGATCCATCGGTTAAATAGATCGCCAGAAAACAATGAAAATGTAACAAACCAGGATACAATCACACGTGCTAATGAAAGTCAAGAGCAACGCAACAAACCCCTTCGAGGTAATGCATTGAGACAAAGACTGGCCCGTCAACGAGTCACCGACACATTCAGAACACGTGAACAACATCGTTTGCAAGTGTATCGCACATTGACACGTGCATCATTTCATCGCCTTGCGTTTGAATATGAGTCGGATATCGACTATTCGTCACATTTACGAATTGTAATCGGTGCTATGAACAAACACTGCCAACACCGTCATGCACTCAAATACAAAGGTGAATCGGCCGGTTTCTGCTGCGCATCTGGAAAAGTTGTATTGCCATCGGTGCTATGAACAAACACTGCCAACACCGTCATGCACTCAAATACAAAGGTGAATCGGCCGGTTTCTGCTGCGCATCTGGAAAAGTTGTATTGCCACCATTGAATTCGCCGCCAGAACCATTGAAAGCACTATTGGCTGGAGCTACATCTCAATCTAAATTGTTTTTTTCGTAAAATTCGCAAATTCAATTCGTGCTTTCAAATGACATCATTTGGAACAACAAAAATCGTTCAGAATGAGAATGGTCGCAATTTTCAATCAACGTTTAAGATTCAGGGCCAAGTGTATCACCAAATTGGTTCTTTAATGCCGATGCCCAATAACGATCCCAAATTTCTGCAAATCTACTTCATGGATGATGAGAAGCAGCAACTAAACGCACGTTGCCAGTACAACCATATCGACCAGATGGAGGAGCAAGAAATTGTGGGTATTTTAGAACTGTTTTTAAAAAATCACAACCAGTTGGTCCACTTCTTCAATACCGTTTCAAACAGACTGCTAAACGACAACTATACAAACCAGGAATGCTACCATATAACTTAAGATTAAAAATTGACTCACCTATAATCATGCTGAGGTGAAATTATTTGCGAAATCTGAAAGACTTACCAACACCGCGTTATCAAATCTCTGAATGGTTACAGGCTCCTCGGGGAGGTATGCAGATCTGAGGTCAATAATTGCTTAGTCTGATGAAGTGATAAACAATAACCTTTTTTCATTTAAAATGTAGTGCTTATAAGGATTTGAAGTAACATGAAAATATTTGTAACATAAGTAATGCATGTAGATCAAAAGAAAAAATCAATTCAAAATAATTTTCGCATTAAAATGCTAAAGGTTAAGTTGAATAACAACAAATATTATAACTCAGCTGAGCCAGGAAAATTAATTGCAAGGGGAAACAACGTTCGCCGGGTCAGCTAGTATACTTATAAAATCTAAAAATTTTAATTTTAACAACACAAAAACAAGTTTTTAACGTAATTTGAAACCAATTATTAATTTTGTATTTAAATAACAGTCGGCCTAAAAGTATGCTACAGAAGAGCTAAATAAATATTTTCAAACATTTTCAGTGCAGGGTGTAGCTTTTTTAAATTATTTATTTATAATATATATTTGTGAGTTAAAAATTAAGTTTTTTTTTCTATGTACTAAACTGCTTATTGACAAATTATGATGTTTATACTATGTACTCGAAAATGTTTTTTTTTCCGAAACCTAGGAACCGATCTGCATGACATTTATAATACTTTACAGCTATGTGAGGGGGCGGAATATAGACTATAAAATTTTTATTTAGCATTAAATTTAACGATTGCCAACATACAAAAAAGCTGTAAATCAAAGTTTTTAATAAATCACTAATTGATCTGTATGAAATTTTTTTTTATTATATTTTTCGCTCAAAGGCTAATATTTAGCATACATATTATACTAAATACGCTTTAAATGTAATTGTGTTCAAAGTTTGTACATCGAATATACTTTAAAACACGCGTTAGGTGATGTCCATGTTCAAACTCTTGCTTTGGTTCCACATAAAGTGAGTTCAAATCAGAGCAGCTTGCTATCAATCGATTTATGGAATTTACAGATTATTAAATGCTACCAAAATATAAACTCTTTAATTTATTAGATATTTCTGTTCTGTTATCACAGAAATTGTCTCTTAAGGTTGACGCTGCAATTATTATTTTATGCATCATTAATACACCTAAATTATACAATGAAGCTAGATTAGCTGCTAATGACTGAAGCTATGATTCTGAACGGAGAATAGTTGGAACCCACACATTTCCGCATTTCCATCATTTTCCTAGGTTATAAACCAACGAAATCGATGCCTTAAGGAATATTGTTATTTAAAAAAACTTCTATTTAAAAATATTTAATATAATTTTAAATCGTTGCAAATTAAATTATTGGATGTCAGTAAGACATAGCCATGTACGTAGGGTACTTCCAGTTAATTATAAATTAATATACAATAAAATATAAACCCACTTTTATACTGTATTTATTTCTAGCTGTTTTATTCTTTCTTCTGAAGTTAAAATGCAACAAATGTTAATAAAAAAAATAAAATATATAAATGATATTATATAAAATTATTGTATATTAAAAGTTTAATATTCAATATCAAATAATTTTGATGGAAAATAAATTCTCTTATTACACTTATTTGGATAAATTTAATTTTAATTTCAATTAATTTCAATTAGTATTGCAAGGATTCATAATAACTCGTACAACTCAAACTTTGCAGTAGCTAGCCTTAAAATATCCAGAAAATCAAGTTACACTTTTAAATATATTTGCTTCTTTGTATTTTCCTGATGTTATTCTAAAAAAATATAATATAAATGATATAATATAATATAAATAACAGTTATCACAAGAGTTCCAATACATTAATTATCTCAACTTTTACTCAACAAAATGGTTCCAGCTTCTTACATACATAATTGTATATTTAATTCTCCCCTAAAAACCATACTTGAAACTAAAGTTGGAAAACTGAAATTAACCAATAAATTCTAATGAATGCAAATGAAACGAAGTTAAAATTATTAATGTTTTAATAACATTATATATCACTTTTCTTTCCGGAAAGTTGACTCATAAAGTGCATTATCTAAAAAGTGCCCTCACGCTGTTACAACTTTCGCACTACAGGCAACACCCGATCTATAGAGCATTTAATAACAGCTGATCTTGCCTACAGACGTGGGCTGTTTGAGGAAAAAATCATAAGTTAAAACCTTTGCATTTCTAAAGGTTAATAACTTATTTTTTTGTCTCAAACTATAGCACTTTGATCTTTTAGGACAGTGGTGCTTAGGTTAATAGGAATATCTGCAAGCAAACAGAAAGGTCTTCTGAAGCAATGGGCACGCAAATATTTCGGTGAAGAAATATAAACATTTCAACAAGACTCCACACCGTCAAAGATGGCAAGTAACGATCTGTTCTCTTTGAGGTACTGCTTTCTACAGCTTATTTTGATCAAAGAGTAGTCCCCACTGTCGTTGGGTAACATTCGTCATTAGTCCAATTCTCGATAAGGATACTGTTTTAATTATGATCAGCCCATAAAACATATCAAAATCAAACGACTTATCAGTATTGGGCATTGTTCAGACTAAGCTCATTGTTCAGACTAGCAATGATATGCTGAAGAATATTAGCAATTATTAGCACATAAATGGCAATTTGATAGAATTGCATTCGAAGAGAATTTAATGCATTTTTCCACTCACACAAAACTGTGATTCACGCTATAGGTGACTATATCTAAAATTAACTCAATTTGAAAAGTTTAATTATTTTCGAATATATTTTGCTGTTAATTCAATCATATTTAATTTAAATTAAAATAATACAGTATTCTCAAGTGATGCAGTTTAATTTGATCACCCTGTATTTATACAGTTAAGAATTCAATCTCTATCGTATACTATATGAAATGATTATTAATTTTTAATAACAGTAAGGCATGGCAAGGAAAGTATATTGCTGACTGTTTGGCGCCAGATGGCGTAAGTAGTGTTTGTTACTGATTGTTACTTTAAACGCCGATATCTCCACAAGTAAATAATGTCAGCATATAGTATACTGGCAAAAGTTACACAAAATAGCTAACTCTACTAAAATCTATTGTCAAATCGGCTTTCAATTCCTTTTGCGTTTCTGTTCTTCCTAATTTTAAATAAAGTTCTTTTAAAATTGCTTGTGACTCGACCTACATCACCTACGACTAGTTTTATTGGCATACAATCAATAATAGTGTGAATAATATAAGAATAATAGAGAAAATATAAACTAAGTAGTTTAATTGTAGTAGTAGTAGTATTTTCTTTTATTAAATTTAGGTCATATTTACATTTACAAAATTAACATTTTCAATAATTTATAATATATAAAACATAAATATTATAAATAATTATAAGAAAACTAATAAGAAAAACCTAACTTCATTTACATAATATCTAATTTTATCCTTATACGATTATGGCATTTGCCGTCAATCGGGTTTGGATTTGTGTTTTTTTTTTTTACGAACTTCAGCTTATGAGAGTTAAAATGCCTCTAATATAATATTTTCTCTATAACGAGACGCCGTTTTCACATAGATCGATAACATATGCCAGTTTTCACCATTTAGCAGCCTCATTAATTCGTTAATATCTAACGTTTGTTTTCCAAAATAATTTACCCGTAAATTAAAATTGGACATTTACTAAGAAAATGTATTACATCTTCCTTTTCTCCAGTATTGCACAGCGTGCATCTCGGGTCTGACGAGTTCATATAGGGAGCGCTGTTGAGCTTTAACAGTTCTCCTCGAGTTTTGAAAATATATCCAATTGCTTCTGCGCTAAAGCGATCTGCGAAGTAACTGTTGTTGCCTAGGTCATAATTAAGTTGCCTGTGTAAAACACGAGTTAAGCTTTGTCGACTTTCTGCTACGAACTTTTCTCTAAACGCAATACCGATTTTTACTAATATATTTTGCTGCCAATGCTTCCACGAATGTATGTTATCGATTATCTTTTTTATTTAAAAATATTTCAAATTTTTCAAACAATGACGAATTTATTAAGTTTAAAGAAGTTCTTATTCAATTTTTGTAAATATAATCTTTAAATCATCGAACATGAACAATTTATAATATTTAATAAATTATAAAAATTTTCATTTATTGAAAAAAAATTTTTGTAATTGATTTTCTGAATAATTTTTGAAATATTTCAACTTTTATATATATACTTTTGCTTGATCTTTCATTCTGTATAAAGTTAGAAGAGTTTAACCAAGACTATCAACACAAACAGTCTTAAGAGTTTTTCCTGTAATAGTTGTCTTAAACTGTTCAGGCAATGCCAACTCAGTATAGTCTCCATTGGCGTCAGGAAGCATAACGTTCATCTCAGAAGATTTTGAGTTTACAATTTCCACACCTAGTGAATCTTTACTCAAATACATTTGGCAACCATCAGTTTTATCAATTGAAATTGTGGGTACGAAGCCCAAAGTCTGCATTTGTACGCTCTGACAATTAACGAATTCAATTGATGCCACTACTGAATCAAAAAGCAGAGAGCATTTCTTGCATGAATCCATAACAATGTTGTTCACTTTGCCCTTGACAGTAAGAGTGGAACCTACACATTTGAACATGTAAACAACATTGTTCATTTCAGCATTTTCTACCAATAAGCCGGTGTTTTTATTTTGATGTTCAATAATCCATTTCTTGCCATCACGAGTAAATACAGGTTCCTTTACAGCATTTGATGCAGGTGCAGCTCCAGCTATGGAACCAAATTGTGTAGGTGTCTTAAATGGTGCTGGTCCAGTACGCAATGTCGGATTCTTGTGCGTTTGCATATCAGCGGTCACCTTTTTCATATTTTTAGTGATACCCTCTCCTTGATTAATTTGTGCAAATAACGCACTGCGTTCATCGCCACCATCAAGCGACATGGCCGCTAAATCAAATACTGGTGGCGGTGGTGGAGGAGGACAAGCACCCATCGGTGGCGGTGGTGGTGCGGCACCACCTGCTGGTACACTACCTTTACCGGACCAAACAAGACCAGTTGTATGATATTGTTTAATGTAAGCTTGCAGTTCAGTCAATGTTTGTATCCATGCACGTGCCCATTCAACATGTGAGACATCTTTTTCCTTCCACTCTTTGAGCACACGATTCGTAAAGAATTGAGCAGCGTCATTCATTTCTTTCACATGAGGTCCAGGAGTTGGAGCTACACAAACCCAACCCAAAGCAGGAATACTTTCACTTATAGCAGACAAATGATTGAAGTACGGTGAAGGGCGATTCTTTTCTCGATAATCTTGTATAGCACTAATTTGCACTGAAGTTGGTTTTAACAAATCCATTTGTTTGTCTTGACTGGGCTTAGCACACTGCGAAGCGATGGTGACATACTGCAACTGGGCGTCAAAAGCCAATTTTACCAATTCGGCGTGTTTGGCTACATCGCCACCAATTCTAGCTGAAAGTGCCAAATATTGGCTCAATGGGCCATTTATAATATCCTGAAAACCTAATACACTCATACTGGGTGGTGCTGGTAGTGGTACTTCTTCTTGTTCTAAAGCGTTAGATGTTTGATAGTCGTAGAGTACAGTAGGTATATTTTCGAGACTACCTTTTCTATGTAATTCACTGTTGTGTGTGAGACTAGCGCCGCTAATGCTATTGCTGTGGATATCGTTGATTTTGTTTAGTGTAGTTTCAATACGTTCAATGCGCTGATTAAGGTTTTCGGCGAGAGGTGTTAATTGCTGTGACAATGACTCCACTGGAGCTGGTGGCAAATCCGCTGTTTCCAAATCAAAACTTTCTCGTTTTTTCTCCAATACTGAGTCAAATGTCTGATTTGCTATTTCCAATTCACGTGTTGACACAGAACGTTCCAACCTCTCAACAAGCTTTTCCAAACGATTAACCAAATGCTCAAGATTCTCAGCAACAGAAGGTTTCAAATCGGGATCACAATCTTACTCAATTTATTTATATAATATATAGAATTACTAATTTTATTTGATTAATTTCTTTTTTATAAATCTCCCCACAAACACTTTATTGTAGCAAACCAACGAACAATATTCAAGTAGTTTAATTGTGGCAACTATATTCAATACTACCGCAAGCGCTTGTATTGTTCTTTCTGTATAATATCCTGTCATTCTTTGTTCCTGATATTCCGAAAACGTACATTGGTCTGACTTCTCTATAGCTTTGGACCTAAGATGGTACATCTATAATGACCTTTCCATATTTATACATACTTTTAAACACATTTTCAATACACTTACAATGTCACTTGTATTCTTCAGTAATCTTTCGCTATTAAATTGCAAGACAACTCAATATATTTCTTAAGTCATATTACATTCTCCTTCAAAGACTTACTACAAATTTCGAAATAAAATATACTACAAAAACACCGCTTTATTTTTTGTTACTACAAATGACAATCGAAGATGTCAAATTTAGAGAATAGTGTTACTCTTCAAAACCAGATTGACTTTTATTTTTATCCAAATATGTTAAGGAACTGGAACTTCATTTCTGTTCTCTTGGGAAAAAATTTGTTTGAAAACTGAAAATAATTCCTTTGAAAGTTTGATTTAAAAGAATTGATTTTATTTATAAATGTGTGATTACAAATTGATTAAGCTATGTCAGTGAGACATCAGAACTCATCTAAGACTGAACTATATATTCCCTCACTGCATCCAATCCAACTATTATTCATTCATTCACACACCGTTATTTAAATCAGAATATGTCTGCTTAATAAAAATAATAAAATTACGCATTGAAAGTCATTAACCAATTAAGAAGAAAGCACTGTTAATCAATTAAAAATATTTCCATAATTCGCGCTGAGTTCCACAGATTTTCTGCGGCGCTCGGACGAAGTTTACTTGCGACTTTGTTTCATATTTTTCGGTTTTTTCTCCGTTTGACTGGCGGTGCAGATGCCAATTTGTAAATATCGAATCAATTGATTAAAACATCACGTAGTCACAATATTTTTAACAATGAATTGACATTCATGTGGCGCTCGGCACTGACTGCTCCCTGCTCGATTGACGGATGCCGCTCTAAACCTCATTGTCCGCATGGCCCGCACCGACACAACAAGTGAAACAATCGCGGTGGCTTCGTTATTGTTTCTTCTACAAAAATAATTTGTATTGCGATTTTCTACATGCGCGGCTATGCGGTTTGGATCGGACTTTCTCCGGCACATACAGTTTATTTGTGTATAATTTCCAAGAATTACGTCTGATTCATTTTCTTCAATTGCGAATTTTCGTAATGAATTTCAATTAATTTGTCATCAAATTCTCGACGTGATTTTCGTATGCGGAAAATTCGCTTCACTTCCAAGCACTTCACAGATTTTAATCACCAAATATTATTTGACTTTGCTTATATTTTAAAGATTTAATAACTTTATTTCTGAAACAGAGTAACAAATTTGTAAGGTTTGGAAGTTTCTTAGAACTGCACTTTCAAGTGTCGGAATGAAATTTACTGAAACTTCGTTGCGACAAAAATCAATTTATCAAAATTCTCATAAATTTCGCGAAATTAAAAATAAAATTAAGTGTGAAGCGGGAACGAAGTTGGCACAGGAATTAAGTATTCAGAAACATAAAAACGGTTAATTTGCAGGAGTTCATAAATTTTATTTAACACATAAACTGACAGTTGAAATGCTTAAGATATTTGCCATAAAAGAATTTTACGAGCTCAAAAAAAGATAAAATACCTAAGAGCACGAAAATCTGTTTGGGATCTTTAGATTTGTTCGAAGGCTTGTTTCCCTTCTCGAAGAATAGTGACTTTGTGACATGAAAATATTTCACAACTTGTTTGTTTTATGTGCACTTTGATACTTTACAACTAAAAACGTGAAAACTGTCAATCGAAAGATGACATAAAAACAGAAATGTAGTTTAGAAAATGTAAATGAATACTTTATAATAAACAAAATATGGAAACATGAGTTAACTATCTCCACTTTGATATCATCACTCAGATAACCAATAGAATTCGAGAGTTGAAGCTTTAACTACGAGTATTTCATTCTCTGATAATAGAAAACAATACTGCTCTGCTAGATCTAATAACTAGCTAAAATGATGTTAACAAAATTTTCTTGGACCAGTGAGTATTACGAAATTTTACTTTGAATTTAAAAATTCTCAGAGTTTAACCCATTTTCCATTAGAAATAGATTTCTTGTCATAAAGAGTAAAAACCTTAATTATTATTCCAGCTTAAGATATATTGCCAACCAATCAATACATATGGAGAACAGAGAGACCAATATTTCAAGAATAGAAAATACTCAAAAACTCTGTCTTAGTTAGTTAGTTAGTTGTGGTGGAGAGAAGATCAAATATTCCTCAATTAGACAAGAAAACCGTTTTAAATCCACAAATTAACGTCATAATGGGTAGTAATTAAACGATCAAGCTAGAACCAGCTGGAACACATATTAAATATCTCTAAGTTGTCATGTCAGTGTATTTTGTAACAACCATCAATATCATATTTTATTTTTTTTTCTTTACTTAATTTTTTTTTAAAGAGGTATAAAGCAATAGAATGTCAAGTCAGTGTAAGACTTTAATCTATTAAAATCACCAATTGTTCACCCTGTCGGAATACCAAAATTCTCTTTTTCGTCGAGCTGTTAAATAGCTTTCCACTCCCCTTTGTAATGTCTCAAACGCCGCATAATATGATTAGACGTCTTAGATTCCTCAAGAACACTATTGTTAACGTTATGGAAGAGTAACAATATTTTTATATGATATTCCATTATATTTGGCAAGGGGTCGCAGTCAAAAGTGTACCTAAATAATTATTAAAAATTGTTATATGTTTTTAAATCATATTTCATAGGCAACAATTTTTAAATAACCTCAATAATAATGCTACAGTTAGGTCCATTGACTACTGTATACAATAAAGAAATTTACTAAACATTCGATTTTCCCTAATATATTATCGAAAATAGTAGTGCAAAATCTTAATGTATTTAATATACCAAGCCGTTTAATTATTGGTAAAATATAAATATTATAGATCTCTTAAGAAGATAATCTAACACTTCACTCTCGACCTACAATTGGATTTATAATTTCTTTAACAGATGCAATCGAAGAAAACCATACAGCCACTCAAACTTTACTAAAGAGGGGCGACACTAGATTTAATTTAGTTCTTTTTTCGCCAGTGACACTAAACACTTAATAAAAATCAACAGATGGCTGGAACCGTACCGGTAGGAAATAGTAGGATTTTATATGAAAATTATTTCAGACAAATTACAACTAAACTAACGAATTACAAATAAATTGTTTTTTTTTCCAATTACTAAAATATAAATGTTAATGAAATATATAAGAAATAATTCCAAGACCAGTGATGATGTGTATTTGGCAATACTCGAAACAGCTGTATGGTCAGCTAAAAATTCAATAAATTAGAATAACATAAAAATAATTTTTGTTGTTGTAGTTCACTACTTTTCGGAATCTCTCTCTACCCCACAATAATTAAAATATATATTCTAACTAAATTTAGTCATCACATAATACTCGTATAAGCGAAAGAATACGTAAGTATAACATAACTAGCGCTATTAACATAACAGAATAAATATAACATAGAAATGATCAACAGATGTCTGTTACGAGCACTTAATGTGATGTTAAGATGTTTATTGCTGTTGTCTATTATCAACACTGCCGAGACAACAATGACGGCATTTGCCATGCAGTGTACCGCATAAGAGGAATGATTAGCGTATGAAAAATGCGCCAATTTCAGTGCTGCACACCAACGCCCTCAATAGCTGCCATCGACCGTTTGGCAAAAGTGGATTTTAATTCAATTTGCGTTCAAATATGAAATCGTTTCGTTATTGTTAATTTTATTGCAATGAATGAATTCGAAGAAAAAATGAGTTAATGATTCATTTCAGATAAACACATAAAAACTAGTTTGCCGGTATCTCTTCAAGATTTAAATAATTGATTAACCGCCTGATTTGGTTAAAATATTTTTTATTTGTTGTCTCCACTTATTTATTTAAATTTAGTATGGGAATTTAAGCAAAAAAAGATATTTTATAATAAATGAGCCAATTAAATACAGTTTAAATTTAATTTTATTATATAAATAAATATTTCATTTCAATGGCAGAGATTTATTAAATTGTTCAAATAGTTTGAGAAAATATATTAATTATAATAAAACAAAAATAAAAAAATTTAAGCAATAAATAGAATTTTTTAATATCATTCGATATATCATTTCTAGACAAATATATTTTATATTTATATATTTTATTATTTTTATTTATTTATTTAAGAGCATATAAAAATATTTAAATTATTGCTAATGGATTTACTTATCTCGGCAGACATTCGGAATAGCAGAAAATAGGTAGGCTACTTATACCTACAAAATATAGGTTTACATATAAAATTTAGAATATAAACGATGATATATTCATTGAATATTTCTTAACCATTATACTCTTTGTCTAAGTACATATTATATATACCAATACTTATACTTAATGAATATTTCCTAACGTTCTATAAATTTGA